AAAAAAAAAATAGCGGGTGCAGTGGCAGTGTGCTGTAGTCCCAGATACTTAGGAGGCTTAGGTGGGAGGATTGCTTGAGCCCAGGAGCTTGAGGCTGCAGTGAGCTAAGTCCATGCCACTGCACTCCAGTTTGGATGACAGAGCAAAACCCCATCTTTAAAAAAAAAGCATTTGCAAACAAGAAAAAAACCTTAACATTCCAATAATATAAGGAGTAACGCTAAAGTGGCCTATATCCCAGATAAGGATAGTACTGAATCCCAAGTTTTAAAAAGTACAATACAAATGGAAGGATCTGCAATAATGCAAATGTATACAGATGACTTCACACAAATAAAAGCAGCAATATTAGAAGAAAATAATTTCCATTTTTGCCACCACAAAAATGAAGAGGCACAGTGAAAGTTGCACAGGACCATTCCTAGAACAATGATGTACAACCGCGGAGAGAAAGGCCCCAGGTAGTTTCAGTGTGCTGTCCCACTCCACTCCCGTCTTACTCAGTTTGAGGATTCCTATCACAGAGTCAAGGGGCGGAGATCATTCAAGACACAAATTTAACATAGAAATCAATGTCTGAGGACCAAACAGGTGACTTAAAGAAAAATCTACCTTGTATGATCTGCTTGAATTCCAGGCCGGGGAAACCAATAGCATCTTCTTCTATTTAATCATTTGAAACATTAAATATCCCATTAAATCAATGCTACTGCATTTAGACATTTGAGCTCTATGATCATTATTTATTTGATGTACATGAACATTATTGATGGTACTTTAACATTTAAAAATTACATTAAAATTTTAAATACATACAAGCACTCTCACCTGCTTAAGCAACTATAAACAAACACTCCTGGGCCTATCAAGGCAGACCATCCTACTTGATGGAAAAGGTGATGGGCAACAGTGACTTCCATCAAATAAAGAAACCAAAAGTGGGTGTTACATTTTTCTGAAAGACAGACCTGGATCACACAAAGGCATTTTATTGGAAGTTATACGCAAAGTAGATTAATTTTTCAGGAAAAAAAAAAGAGATGGATCAACATTTAAGATATACTAGACCAAAAAAAAAAAAAAACCCTGAATAAAGATGATAAAGGTAAAAATGTATTACTCACAAAGACCTTAAAATACTTAAGAAATTATTAGAATATAAAACTTTAATTTCCCTACAGTCAAAATTTTATTCACAAAGAGTTATAGATTGGCTGGTTGTCGAAAACTTATTTTAAAAGGTTAAAAATTAAAATAATTGCTTTTTCTTTGTTCCATTAGTACTAACTCACAGGATCTTTGTGGGTTTTAGCTGAATGAAGGATGTAAAAACTTGAAAGGAAGAGCAGGATGGGAGAGTGGAAGGTGGAGAATAAATGATTAAGAACCAATTCCATAAAACTTGACTTCACTTAGGACACATGGGTAGAAAGGGCAAACCAGCCTTCTTCATTGTGTCTCTCAATCTGTTGAGCAAAGATACAGAAAGAATTTGGATGGTTACCAAAACAAGAGACCACTCAAGATTTAGATCACGTACATACAACAAAGTCATCCCGCGCCATCGAGTGGTACTGAAAATTAAATTGCTACTGGCAATGTTTATTCTCTAACAGAACACTACCAAATAACTGATAACCTGGTCAACAGGTCCCCTACTTATTTAAGAGTCTTAATTTTTTAAACAAGTGTTTTATACAAATCATAGGTGTAACTTTTTTTAAATGATAAAAATAATGTTATTTGACCTTAGTAAATTAAATGTTACTAAATTCCCAGAACCAAGAGTAAATTATATAAAATTGCTTACTTTAAGACTTTTTTTTTAGAATATAAAAAATAGCAAGCCGGGCTCAGTGGCTCAGCCTGTAATCCCAGCACTTTGAGAGGCTGAGGTGAGTGGATTGCCTGAGTCCGTAAGTTCAAAAACCACATGGGCAACTTGGCGAGACCTCATCTCTACAATAAATCAAAAAATTAGCCCAGCGTGGTAGCACGCGTCTGTAGTTCCAGTTACTTGGAAGACTGAGGCAGAAGAATTGCTGGAGCCCAGCAGGTCGAGGCTGTGGTGGCTGGGAGCGGCCACTGCACTCCAGTCTGGGTGACGGAGTGGGACACCAACTCAAAAAAAAGAAGTAGCAAAGAACAAATCTCCTCGTGCTGGGAAATCGAGGCATCTACACCTATCAATTAATTTGGGCTGCAAGTAACCAGTCTTGGTCTAAGTACTAAAATTAGTAATAAGTAAAAGCAAAGATTCTCCCTAAAGACAGTTGTTGGCTCAAGTCTGCAAAATTAATTTTTACAATTTTAAAGATATCCTCAAATTTTACTATGACCAAATACTCAAAGGAACTATATTTTGTTGTATTGCCAACACCGAAAAATGCCTTCTGCAAAAATTTTGGATACACTGGAAAATGCTTAACTCCTACAAATTTCTGGAGCAAATCAAACCACACAAAGAACACATAAGACATTTATTTATCCTTTGTACCATAACCTGTCTGACGTAGCACACTCAGACACTGCACACTGGGATAAGGTGAGAAAAATAGCGCTCTGAATAAAGATGATAAAGATAAAAATGTATTACTCACAAAGACCTTAAAACACTTAAGAAATTATTAGAATATAAAACTTTAATTTCCCTACAGCCAAAATTTTATTCACAGAGAATTGTAGGTTAGCTGGTTGTTGGAAACTTATCCTACACCTCACCCAGTCACAACAAGGACTGGGGGAGTCAATATCTCAGTATACCTACAGCCCATTCAAGGCTCACCTGTATGTCCTGCCATAATATTTAGGAAGCTCTGTCTAAAACCAGCAATTTCCAGTGTCTAAGGATTGTGGAATATCCTACTAAATGTAACCTTATTCCTTAATTTCCCTATTAAAAAAAGAAGTATATGGCATGTATTTTTTCTGAATGAAGGTAGTAAATTAGCACTCCTTCTACAAATTGTGTATCATCTTTAGGATAATAGGAATAATAATTAAGAATAGAAACCACTCAATCAGTCACCTTCCACCCCCATCCTCCTGATCCTTACATGCATGTCACAATTACGTTTTGTCACGTACCTTTGGTCTTGGATTAAGAGGTGTGAGTCTTCCACTCCCTGAGGTGGCATTTAATGGAGAACAAGAATTACTAGTAGCGCCTGAAGATCTATTTGTGAAAATAAAAAAGAATAAGAGAGTGGTTACCATTATTAACCTTCAAAAATTATGCAAACAGGTCAGGCGCGGCGGCTCAAGCCTGTAATCCCAGCACTTTGGGAGGCCGAGGCAAGAGGACTGTGTGAGTTCAGGGATTCTAGACCAGCCTGTGCAACTTGGTGAGCTCTCATCTCTACAATAAATTAAAAAAATAAGCCAGGCGTGGTAAGCACGTGCCTGTAGTTCCAGCTACTTGAAAGACTGAGGCAGAAGGATCACCTGTGCCCAGCAAGTTGAGGCTGCGGTGGCTGTGAGCATGCCACTGCACTCCAGCCTGGGTGACAGAGTGAGACTCCAACTTAAAAAAAAAAAAATGTAGACAACTGACAATTCTCAATACTGGCAAAAGCTCGAAAAGGAATGGCTGACTTAGGTCCAAATTAGGTAAATTATTTCTAACATATTTTCACCACCTTCTACATCTTTTTTTAATTAGTAAAAGACAATCGCATTTCTCTACACCAATAATAAACAAACAGAAACCCAAATAAAAAACACAATTCCATTCACAATAGCCACAAAAAAAATGAAATACCTTGGCATCTTCTTAACCAGAGACGTGAAAGACCTTTACAATGAAAATTACAAAACACTGCTCAAAGAAATCAAAGCTGACATGAACAAGTGGAAAAATATCCCATGCTCATGGATCGGAAGAACCAACATTGTGAAGATGTCCATCTTACCTAAGGCAATCTACAAATTCAATGCAATACCCATTAAATTACCAACAACATTCTTCTCAGACCTAGAAAAAAACAACACAGGAATTCATATGGAAACACAAACGTC